GGGCTCTGCTGTGTTTCACGAGCAAAGTGTCTCCTTGTGTCACTGTGATGAGTCGCCATCGTAGGCTGTGAGGCCTACAGGGGCCATCATTCCTGATACTAGAGGCTCATGTCGGAAAACAGGGCCACGTGAATGGCACTTGGAGGAATGAAGACATTGGCATTGAGAATGCTGTCCTTCCGGGCAGCTGTGAAATCAATCTGAGTGAGCTGGGCCTGGACCTGGAATCGGGTAGACCTCAAGGTATGATCCAGACCAGACAGGAGCAGGACATCAGAGTTAGGGAAGGAGTGGGGCAGGTGGGGATTTGACACATGGGTGAGTGCACACTGGATGCAGCCTGGAAAGACCCTTCCCACACTCAGCCTCCTGTGATATTGTGATTTATAACAAGAAACATGTATTTTGGTCTTCACCCAAAGAATTCCTGGCACAGGGCTCCTAATAATACCCTTGGAATTTCCTGAGGGATAAGAGCCATAAAAGTGTCTTCTGTTATTTATAACGAGCCCCCTTTCAGCCAAACCAGAGTTTATGTTAATGAGGTGACTTTTGGGGGAAGCCCCTAGGGATGGGGCTGGTTGCCAGGGGAAACAGCCACGTGATCAGAGGGTTGGAATTTTCAGCCTCCTGTTCCTTCCCCATCTTGACCTCCAGGGACAGAAGAGGGGCTGGAGGATTAGTCCAGTCACCAAATAGCCAGTGATTTAATCAACCATCCCCGTGTAATGAAGCCTCCATAAAAAAATCCAAACTGAGGGGTCTGAAGAGCTTCCAGGCTGATGAGGGCATGGAGATTTGGGGAGGACGGCGAGCCCAGAGAGGGTATGGAATCTCCGCGCCCCTTCCCACACACCTTGCTCTCTGCATCTCTTCCATCTGGCTGTTCCTGACTTATATCCTTTGAAATAAACCAGTCATCTAGTAGGCAAACTGTTCCTGAGATCTGTGAGCCATTCTAGCCAAGGATGGTACTTTAGGAGACGGTTGTGGGAACCTCTGATTTATAGCCAGTTGGTGACAACCTCGACTTGCGAAGGCGTCTGAAGTAAGAGCAGTCTTTTGGGACTGAGCCTGTGAGGTCTGTGCTAACTCCAGATAGACAGCTTCTGAATTGAGTTAAACTGGTGGCAGAGGATTGGAGAACTGCCCAGCGTGGGAAAAACCTACACACCTTTGGTAACCAGAGGTATTGAGAGTCTTCTGCGAGCAGACAGAGCACAGAGGAGCTTTCTTTTTACATCTCCCATAGTCAAACAGGGAGGAAGATGTAGTGATCAACCTTTGGCAGGGAGGCCAGGGACAGCGTCTTGAGAGTAACAGGCAGACGATAGAAAATTCTGTTTGGCCCGTGTTTTTAGAGATCTCTAAATTTCTAACCAGAATCTCCTCTACCCTGTGATCTGTTGTGAAAGTACTTTCTTCCACTCCATAGATTCTGGAATCAACCTTATCCTTAAAGAGACCAAATAGAGAAATTCCTTTATCAGTATTGCTTTAAATCCCATCCACGTTACATCTGCTTATCCCTCCAGGCCCTGCCTCTCTCCCTGTGATGGAGTCACTGGCTGTTACCCACTTGGAGGGTCTGAGTTTCTTGTAATTGGCCCTAGATGCCCATCATTGGCTTAGATGCCCACCTCTGGCCCTTTGCGTCCTGCAACTAGACAACCCCACGGCATCCTGGACCTCCTCTGCCACATGCCCTGTCTCCCTACATGTTATCAACCCTAATTCTGAGGCTGAGCTCAGACTTTTGATGAATGGTACCTGTGGTTTGTCCATACTCCCCACACCTCCCACTTTGAAATCGATCCCCAGGTTGAGACCTACATTTTCTCTCATGTCACTGAAGTTGTATGCCCGGCCTCTGGACTTGCCACCTTCATGTTTTTTAGGAAGATGTAACAGCTATACTAGAGCTGAAGTTTGGGAAATAACAGCTCTCCCGCACTCCCCTCAGGGTACCCAGTGACTGCAGGACCCACAGGCGTGCTTTTGTGTCTGGGTCTCTACCAGCGAAAAGGCGTTGTTTCCCTTCAGTGTAGGGACCCCTTTTGGCTGGAGAATGGCTGGGATGGTCCCAGAGAGAACAGAAGTAGCTCAGCGACCAGGCCACGGGTGAACCAGGACAGAACCCCGAGTCAGGAGTGGCACACACGCTTTTGGGTGGGTGAGTCCCCTGTGTTAGGTTTTATGGGACTTTAAGCGAGGCGGTAAATTGACAAGACGCATGTGGAAACTGGGGAGGAGAGGGGGTCCCTACCAGCTACACAAATAACTCCACAGCCCAAGAACTGGAAAACGTGAAGTTGTCCCTGAATGGTTCTGTCGAAGATGTTGGCTACATCAACTAACCTCATAGAGCTATGGGTGAGACAGTAAGTGCCTGGAACAGAGTAGATACTCCACAAACGGAAGTCATTAATAATGTGATTATTATCATCAGCTCTTAGAGTACTATTCCCTTTCAGAGGATGAATGTGGAAGTTGTCATAGTGATTATTATTAAGCATCTCTATAAGAACTTTCTGCTCTCTCTAGGTGACACTAGCTTTTCCCAGGTTTGGGGGTACTGAGCAAAATGTATTAGGTTTCACATGAACCCCAGGCCCTCCTCTGGGAATACTGCTTAGAGCTATACCTCTTGCATAATTACATTTGTTGAAAAGTTGGAAGCTATGGGGTAGAGGGAAACACCACTGGGTTCAGAGCCTGAAGGTGACTTGGAATGTGTAGGGAGTTTGAGGGATTTGGGGCAGATCAAGGGGAGGTGACACACAAGAGGCAGTAACATACAACAAGCTATACTGGGCAGTTGCAGGAAGGGGAAACTTTTCATAGGGAGAGAGCTCAGAGGCTTAGGAGATAGGGGCTGCCATCCAGAAGCGGAGGAGGGCAAGGAACTCCAGGGTAGGGGGCGGTCAAAGAGGGGGCTTGTATCTAAGGGTTGTCACTTAGCAGCAAAGTGGGGAGTCTCTGGGCCAGAGAGCTCTGAAGGGCCAGGGCAGCGTGGGGTCTTCATGGCTGGGGGCTTATCTTGTCAATTGCCGATAGATGTGGGGTGAGGTTTCCTGGAGTATGCAAAGAGGCAAGCTCTAAATGGCTAAAAATTTGTTTGTTTGGGCTATTTTTAAAACAATTGGCTGTGCTGCCTGTAGGGTGCACACGTTGTCAGTGTCTTTAGGTGACGGCATGGCCACCACTGGAGTCTGGTGCCCAGTCAATACTACCACTGGGCTGCCTTGGTTCTTCCCTAACATGCTGGGGCAGAGCGGACTCTGAGCCCGCCCCCTGCTTTCCTACGCAGCTCGCAGTGGGGCAGTTTTCACAGGGATGCTGTCTCCCATCTTGCAGTCTTTCTCTGCTTGGCTCTGGGGTCCTTCTTCTTTGGCCACATTTTTCTCTCCACACACAGAAGCCTTCTTGTACACTGCCCCCAACAGTACATGTAATCGCCTCTCCTGGGACCAACCCCATAATCTCATATCCAATTCACTGTCTTCTTTCTTATTTCTCTGTCGCCTTCACTTTACTCTTGCCCAGAGCCTGTCTTCCCCTCTCAACACAGTTCATGTCTCCCAATATGCCAGGTTGGCCGCAATCCCCTTCCCGCCTATATCATCTGAACCTCTGCTTTCTCTGCCTGTTATTAACTTCTTTATCTGGGAGCACATCTCATTTATTATTAAATTTCATTTACACAGAAAACATTGGATGTGTAAAAATTTGAGTTTGGTGCCAGTGGGCTTTTGAGCACATGGAACTCAGCCTACAGTGAAGAAATAACCTAGCGACCAACAGACAGAGGTCATCTTTGGCTGATTTATTACCACAGAATGCCAAGATGATCATTTCCTGGCTGTGTCAACTTTGGAAGATTTCCTTAATGTCTTTGAGGCATGGTTTCTTCATCCATTAATGGGTAGCAACTACCTCGAATATTTACTGAAAATTAAAACCAAGGATCCAAGCCCAAGAATTTAAAGCAACTTCATAGCCACTCATTTTTGTTTGTTTGTTTGTATGTGGCCATTTTCTTTTCACTTGAGCAAGTGAATGTCAGGTCTTCTTTTCTAGCAAGTCTTAAAATGAGAGGAATGGGCCCCTGAAATTGAACCTGTTCCCCCATCTCACCTCTTTAACCCTGACACTGAACACATCATCCTTACCCACCTGCTGCTTAAACTATGGAAAAACAAAGGATAGGGAAAAGTTGTCAAGGAGAGGAAGAGGAATACGAGAGAAAAGGGGTGGACACAAGGAGGGTCCCAAGGGCCCTTGTTACGTAAGCAAAGCCAAAGAAGGAAAATTAGCGAGACTCAAAAGCAAACCCAGGTGTGGCTCTGTCCAGCTCCCCTCCTGCTCCAGCCTCACAGATGATACACCTTTGGACACAGAGGGTTGGTCCTCCTCACCTGTCACTTCCCCACCATCCCTCATCTGTCCTGCAGGGGCAGGACTTAGTGTAGGAATCTGTCCAGCTGGCTCTCTCCTGGTCTGAGGGCATCAGTAGCATGTTAATAGCACTGCATTTCCCCTTATTCCAGGGTTTCCCAACCTCATAGCTCTTGACATTTTGGACCACATAATTCCTTGTTATGGGGGACTATTTTGTGCATTGTCAGATGTTTAGTGGCATCCCTGGCCTCTACCCACTAGGTGCCACTAGCACCTCCCAGAGTGGTGACAACCAAAAATGTCACTAGACATTGTCAAATGACCTCCGGAAGGAGGAGAGGGGGGCAAAAGCATGTCCAGTTGAGAACCACTGCCTTATTATACTCTCATTTCTGTTTTTTGTTTTTTCTGTTTTCTTCTGGGATAGATTAAAATCCAAGAAGATGAAGTCTCCAGCCAGTAAAGCGCTTTGCAGGACATCTAACTTATAAGCGCCGGCTAAAGGCAACACCTCTGTGATGTTTTCTTGAAGACCCCTATTAGAAGTAAGCACTCTTTCCTGCAAATTTTTAGAGCACTTTGTCCTTTTGTCAAATTACCTTTCATACTGCACTTGTGGGAGTGAAAGCTCTGATAGCATCATCATCAATATCATTAATCTTCAAATCTCTGGAGAACCTAGCATGATGCTTGAAAGGCAGTCACACAGTGGTTTACTGTTTGGCCAGCACGGATTCCATTCCCAGTCCCCATTTTTGTTGGTTTTTGTTGCAAGCGGTGCTCTATCTCATTCCTCTCCGAGTCTCCGGCTCTCTCACAGTCCTGGCCCAGATGCAGTGCTCTGGACCTGGTTCTTGAATCAATGTGTCTCCCTGATGCTCTGACCCACTGATGTCTGGTATCTCCAAACCTTCACAAAGTCTCCATCTGCCAGAGGAAAGCAGCTGTATCTCCCTGGAGCCAGAATCCCACCACTTCTCAAAAGTTGGCTTTGCTTTGTGGGCCAGCCAGCACCAATGTTAAAAAACATTTTTCAGCAAAATCTAGAGCCATGATATTCCCAGCCCACCGGCAGGGTTCCCTCACAACAGAGCCTTCTTCCTATTGGCAGGGGAGAGAAAATGAGAATCATGGAAATTTAATATCTTCACATTATGCAGATCTGATTTAATCAGAGATGAGGGTGAAGTGCAATAAAAACTAAAGTTTCATTAAGTTTATGACTTTCACACTGTTATGTCAATTATTCTGTTTCCATGGCCACCAGCGGTAACAGTCTCAGCACGATTGTTTCCCCACAGAGAAAGGAACAGGAGAAAATGGTAAGAGACCGGACTGAATTTCCCACCGACAACCTCTTCCTGTGTTGGAGGTTTCTGGAAAGGAGTAAATCAAGTTGGGAGAGTCTTGAGGATTCCTTCCCAGAGGAAAGCCAGGCAAAGAACGGAAAGCCAGGAGGGAGGCCATGTCTGTCTTCTGGTTTTCATTTGTTCCAAGAAAACTCTTACAGACTCTCATCTTCCTGGAGCAATTCGACCCGGGAATATTGCCACGTGTCAAGCGGTCAAGTAGCAAAAGTGAAGGGCAAGAGCTTAGCCCACGGCTTGCCAACATGATGGGCCATCCCATTCCTTGTGCTCTTCTCAAGGATTACCACATGAAACTAAATTTGTGGAAGAGGGTGGGTAGCATTTATTTAAAGGGCGGATTATATGGCGGCTACCGCTTCCACACGCTGCATGGGGCACGAGGGTATAGGAATCAGCAAAGTGAAATGTTGACAAGTTGCTGGTGGGAAGTCAGCTGGTAGATCCCAACATAACTGCCCCCATGTTGCATGACTCATGGATATTTAGGGGGAGTGGGGAGCTCTACAGGGGGAAAGAGAAGACAGTGGCTACTTTGGTAGACTTGACACTGGGCAGGCTGTGCTGATTGCCTGCTCGATATCCATTCCCATTCTACCCTTACTCACAGACCGCTCCACCAAGACTGCTCACCCCTCACGTTCCCTTCCAGCTAGGGGTGGCGATGTGACACATTTCTGGCTGGTGACAATCAAAGGGTACATGGGAAAATGGCTTTTACTTTCCTGATTGTAGCAGACGATTTTTGTGCCTTCCACCACATCTCCTCCACCCACCTCTGATTTCAGCCACAGCTGCGATGGGCAGCTCCAGGCTCGCTGCCATCTCAAGGGCATGCTATGACATTTCTTAATTTTTGTGATTTAGGGATTTCTTTGAAGCCACAGACGTCTACTCAGCTCTCATCCTGGCACAGTCAGGAAGATCAGGGAGCTTAATGCCTCTGGGGTTAACCCGCAAACAATGAGGGATGGCAGCCCATGGATTGATGCTGCAGCCGCCTGTCCTTCAGATAGAAAAGTCTAGGAAGCATTCTGTATGCTTTTCCCACGTCCCCAAGGAGCTGAGCTCCTTAACAGCGGTAGAGCACCCTTTACTGGCTCCTCCTTCCCTGTCTCACTCTTACTATACTCAACCTTACTCTTTTTTTTTTTTTTTTTTTTGCAGTACGCAGGCCTCTCACTGCTGTGGCCTCTCCCGTTGCAGAGCACAGGCTGCAGACGTGCAGGCTCAGCGGCCATGGCTCACGGGCCCAGCCGCTCCGCGGCATATGGGATCTTCCCGGACCGGGGCACGAACCCGTGTCGCCTGCATCGGCAGGCGGACTCTCAACCACTGCGCCACCAGAGAAGCCCTCAACCTTACTCTTGTTTCATGGCATTACCTGCATGCACCCAAGTCTTTATCTCAGGCTTTGCTTTTGCAGAAACCCAAACAAATACATGGAGATACAACCAAAACCTGACCATCATCAAAGCAGGACTCAAATCTCTCCTCCTCCACCCATTCTTCCCCTACTATCTTTGTCTTCACATCACATCTTTGTCTGCCCTCCCTCTAAGCTTAGTGTCTATGAACAGCTTTGTCTGCCCTCCCTCTAAGCTTAGTGTCTATGAACAGCAGTTGACCTCTCAGTGTGGAGAAAAAGGAACCCTCTTACACTGTTGGTGGGAATGTAAACTGGTACAGCCACTATGGAGAACAGTATGGACATTCCTTAAAAAACTAAAAATAGAACTACCATGTGATTCAGCAATCCCGCTCCTGGGCATATATCTGAAGAAAGCCATAATCTGAAAGCATACATGCAATGTTCATTGCAGCACTATTTACAATAGCTAAGACATGGAAGCAACCTAAATGTCCTTGACAGAGGAATGGATAAAGAAGATGTGGTACATATATGCAATGGAATATTACTCAGCCATGAAAAAAACCAAAATAATGCCATTTGCAGCAACACAGATGGACCTAGGGATTATCATACTAAGTGAAGTAAGTCAGAGAAAAACAAATATCATATGATATCACTCATATGTGGAATCTAATTTTTAAGAAAGATAGAAATGAACTTATTTACAAAAGAAACAGACTTACAGATATCGAAAACAAACTTACAGTTACCAAAGGGGAAATGTGTCAGGAGCTTGGGATGAACACACATGCTACTATATATAAGATAGATAACCAACAAGGACCTAATCTATAGCACAGGGAACTCTACCCAGTACTCTGTAACGGTCTATATGAGAAAAGAATCTAAAAAAGAACGAATCCATGTGTATGTATAACTGAATCACTTTGCTGTACACGTGAAATTAACACAACATTGTAAATCAACTATACTCCAATAAAATAAAAATAAAATAACTCAAAAAGTTGACCTCTCAGTCACTGTGTAGAGTTGCCCACATAGGTATTTTCTCTCCAAATGAATCTAAGCTTCTCTAGGACATGGATGATCCCTTAATACTTCTAAATATCTCCTACCAGTTAGCACAGTTCTGAGCAAATGCCCACTGACACTCTATGACTAGTTCATGGATTAGATTTGTAAAGTTGTGCATTAGTTAAACCAATGGATAATAATGGGGAAAAATCTCATTTAAGGTGGGAAATAATTTGGCTTTAAGGAATTTCCTACTTACTCACATGGATATATCTAGTCTAGAAAGATGTTCAGACACCAAGTTTTCTTTATCTCTTGTTGCCCTGTCTTTAAGAACACAAAATGATGTCTCTGAGTAAAGTAAGTCCATTTAGCTGAACAGAACTAGATTCTGAGATCAATATAATCTTTGACTAACTGCAGTGTACAATTAGTGCCCTGAGAATTCTTACATTACCTATTTCTTAGGTTTTTTACCCTCCAGTTTAGCTCAGTGGTGTTCCAGTTGAATGATGATATTCTTTTGCCTGCATCCGCCTAATTTTCAACTTCAACTCTGGTTTCTGCTGTCAGTCCTCTCAATCACAGACTCAAGCTACATTGGCTTCTTTCTTCCCCTCACATAAGTGACCCCATTCATAGTTGGTCACTGATCTCACTCAGGCTTCATGTTCATAAAGACCATTTTTATTTCACCTCTGAGGCTCTGGGCAAATCCTTGAACTTCTATCCTGAGACTCATCCTTAGGTTTGATGAGGAAATGATGCAGATAACTTCGTACAATGCCTGGGACATAGTAAACACTCAATACAGAGTTTTTTTATTTTATCATTGGTCACCCTTTCAAGAATATCCAAATGTCTTGAACACATCAGGGACAATTTTTTTAGGAAGGCAGTATTATAGAGTGGTCAACAGTACAGCTTTGCAGAGAGGAGACCCCAGGCTCCAATCAGAATTCTGCCAGTCTCTGAGATGTCCCCCAGTGATTCTCTCCTCCTTGTAGTCATGCCCTTGTATAGGAGTTTCCTCCACTGAAACATGGCAGGTTTATGCGTCCAACAGAAGATAATAGGAGTGCCAGTGGGTGACTTCTGGGACTAGATTATAAAGACATTGACGTCTCCATCTTGTCTCTCTCTTAGATTATTCACTCTGGAGAAAATCAGCTGCAACGTTGTAAAACATTAAAGTATCCCCTGAAGAAGACCCCATAGTGAAAAACCGAGGCCTCCTTCCAAAAGCCAGCACTAGCCTGCCATCCATGTGACTGTGCCATCTTGGACACAAATCCTCCAGCCTCAGTCAGACCTTCAGATGATGTAGCCCCAACTGACATCCTGACTGTGACCTCGTAAGAGGTCCTGAGCCAGAAGTACCCATTAAGCTACTTGTGAATTCCTGACCTAGGAATTGTGTCAGATGATACATGCTTATTATTATTTTACACCTCTAAGCTTTGGGATAATTTGTTTTGGAATAATAGATAGTTAACAAACTACTTATGTTGGTAGTTTGGGGGAGTTGTTTATAAGCCTTAATTTCCTCATTTGCAAAATAAGAATAATAGTGGCACTTACTCCAATGTGTTAAGGGGATGCCATGAGCTACTACATGCATAACAATTACAAAAGTGTCTTGCACACAGGAGTGCTCAGTAAGCGGTAGTACTATTATTTTTTTTATCGTTGTTGGAGTATAATTGCTTTTTGATGTTGTGTTAGTTTCTGGGAGGCTCAGGAGGGAGGGGATATGGGGATATATGTATATATACAGTAGTACTATTATTGATGATAAATATTTCCTGATCCTATTGCGCCTATGGCCCTGGCTCTTGAAGTACATTAAGAAACTGACCTCTTGTTTATAGCAAATTTTGTCTACAACAGAAGGAACATTCATCACAAAAGACCTGCCACTAGCTGATTCAGGAATAATCTGGGCTCCAACGATCCTGGACCAAGGAACTCTGAGAAGATGTAATGTAAGAGGCAAAATGCTCAGTTGTTCTTTGTTCTTTGTCTTGTTAATGTACTTGTATAGCGGGTACTTGTTTAGATAACAGGTGTAGCTGAAGCCCTGTGATGGTAAATTAATCCCCTATGTATTCTACCAGATAATAAGTCTGTGGCAGCCCAGCCAAGGAGTTAAATTTCCTTTAGGATTAAAGAACTGTAGAGAGCAGAAATACCCCACAAATCTTCACTCACTTTTTAATAAAAAAGATAGTGCTTTGGTTTAATAATGGCCACAGCTAAAATTTTAACTCTAGGCTTCTATACGGAGCAAACCGGAAATCACATTTTTTTTAAATACTATTTTTTTAAAAATAACTTATTTATTTTTTATTTATTTACTTTTGGTTGCACTGGGTCTTCATTGCTGCGCGCAGGCTTTCTCTAGCTGCGGTGAGCAGGGGCTACTCTTCATTGCGGTGCATGGGCTTCTCACTGCGGCGGCTTCTTTTGTTGTGGAGCACGGGCTCTAGGTGTGGGGGCTTCAGTAGTTGTGCCACGTGGGCGCAGTAGTTGTGGCTCACGGCCTCTAGAGCCCAGGCTCAGTAGTTGTGGCGCACAGGCTTAGTTGCTCCGCGGCATGTGGGATCTTCCTGGACCAGGGCTCGAACCCTTGTTCCTGGCATTGGCAGGCGGGTTCTTAACCACTGTACCACCAGGGAAGTCCCCACAACACTTAACCAGCATTCATTTGGAACTCCACTTTACAGGGTAAGTTGTAATTTAGCTGATTACTAAGAAGTGTTTAAAGAACCCCCTTTGTCAACTTAGCTCGTGCAGATACCCAGCTGGCTTCTAGATGCAGTGTGTCTGTGGCTGCCCTTCAGAAGTGCAGTGCTAATTATTTCATTAGCTCCTACCCTCAGAATTCCTTAAGAATTTAAGAGCTCCTAAGATATGTCTGGCTGCTGAAGCTCCCACCTCACCTGCTCTGTGTGGATTAGTGCTACAACATGGAGAAATGGACTTCTCACCCTCATCTCTATTACAAACCGAGCATCTGAGGACCCCCTCCATATTGCTCAAATGCCCCCATCCCATCCGATTTTAACTCACTAAGATACATACACAATTGGAACACACTTGGTTTTATCACATGTTCTGATAATACGCATTATGCTACACATTCATAAGGAGCTCCTCCAGAAGTGAGATCAGAGGCTTCCGCTCGCCACTGGCTAACTGCAGTGATGCTGAGGGGGACAGGAGGTGCAGAAGAGGTAAGTAAAGCCCGAAGGTTCTTGGGTCACAGAGGTGGACAGCTCATTGCAGAGAGGGAGGCTGACCTCCAAGAAGCCTAACACAGCCTGTGCTTTGGGGCTCTGTGAACCACCTACTCTCCGCTCCACCTCTTACTGTCCCGTCACAACACGTGGAAACCTGGAGATAATGAACTGCCTCTGCGCTTGTAGGAGCATCTACCATGTCATCTCCTGGTGTCAGGAGATCTGTGCTCTCGTCTTTCCTCTGTCTCTAACCAGCCAGTCATTTACCTCTGGGTTTTTGTTAGTGTTTTAATGTAGAAAAAAATGGAAACCTCTACCTGGTGCAATTTCTCAGCCTCTAGTCTGAGTCAGAGGAAGGAGAAAATCACTCAGATTTAAATGCCACTACGTGCCGGGCTTTTTAGAGATACAATTTCATTTCATCTAGATGCAAATCTGTGAGATAACTGTTTAGTCACTATTTCATAGATGAGGAAGTGAAGTGCAGAGTCCAGTCACCTGTTTCCCCCTCTCCAGAT